CGGGACTGGCGAGCCAGTTCCTCTCCCGTCTGCATGTACACAGATGCCTTCAGGCTGAAGGCCCAGAGGTGCAGGGAGCGGTCGCAGCTTATGCTCAGGGTCACTGGAGCACGCACCTCCTTGGAAACGGGACTGGGCAGAAAGGGAGTGAGCTCTTAGAAGCGGTGGGCAGAGCTAGCAAGGCCTGTCTGTTGAGATTCTTCCCGGCCTTTCTGTGAACAGTCCTTCCTCCCAGTGTGGGGCAGGACTCCGCTGGAATGAGAATCTTAAGATCTAGTATCGGGCAAGCCAGGTCAGAGAATGTCTACGGCCAACGCCTACACAGAAAGGTGGAGAAAAGTTAAAGTCATAGGTTTTAGGTTTTCTGGCTGGCTTTGTGGGGAACGGGTTTAGGTTTTCAGACCTGCCCTGGGGAATAGGAATTCCTGTTTCTTGCCTCGGGGAAGAATGAACAGTGAGAGATAGGAGGGCAGGAGAAGGTCAGAGAAAGAACTCGGGCTTCCAAAGTCTTCACTTTGGGTATTCCCCTCTGAGTCTCGTGTTAACACCCCCGAAGCATCACTGAGTTCCAGCAGTTACTGACAGTCTTTCTTCTATACTGGTACCCACTCACCCCCACTGGGATTAGATTAAGGCAAACCTCGAGTATCATTTTACCCTTCAACACTTTAGATAAAGGGTGTGCATGTCCACAATTCTGAGAGGAAAATGAAGGAGAAAGGATTGCACCATGGCCAACGCCCCTGGGGGGATTTCACACTCTCTCTCTCTCTCTCTCTCTCTCTCTCTCCAGCAAACGCACTATAGAAAAACTAACAACAACAACAAAATCATAACCATTACATTTTTAAAAGGACAATAATTCTACAATAGCATTAAACACAGATTTTTTTTTCAGGGGTTTTTGCTATAGGGCACATGCACTTGCTGGAGAGACAGAGAGAGAAAGTGAGAAATCATCCCCCCACCCCCACCCTGCCCAGGGATGGCCATGCCACGATCCCTTCTCCTCCATTCTCCTCTCAGGGTCTTGGGCATGCACGCACACGCACCCCGCGTGAGTTTCCCGTTGCCCGGTCCAAGACTCAAACTGTGGTTTACCACATGGGAGTCCAGTGCCTTAACCACTACATCACCTGCTGGCCCCCAAGCCTGTGTTTTTCAGATTCAGTTCCCCAGGTAATGTTGAGGTCTGGGAACTGCTAGGTCATTCTGGATAGGAACACCAGGGGAACCTCGGAGGGAGCCAGGTATGTAATTCAAGTGCACCTGGCAGGCTTTATGGTCTTTTTGGTTAGTCAGTCAACATGCATCATGGGCAAGTGTCAATCTGAAGCATGTGCTGTAAAAGTTCATACGAAATGAATGTATGTAGTAGGAGCCCATTTGTAAACCTGCATTTACTGAGAATTTACAACGGGCTTTGCATTGAGGGGCGATAAGAGACAAGACAGAGCGCGGAGTGATTGCTGGGGAGACAGGCATTCGGTTCTCTATCCTGTCACTGCCGGGGGAGAGGAGAGGGCAGTCAAGGCGCTAGTCAGTTACAGTTTAAAGTCCCAGTGAGAGACAGAGACAGAGAGAGACGCTCAGCAGTGTCTCACTGCCGCAATCCATCACCAGGCTCAGCAGCCCTGGACCATGGGTGCGGGGGTTCTCAGAAAGTCTCCGGGCACACATCTGGAACCGTCCCGTGGGGGTGGCCTCCCAGAGCCTTGCTTTTACTGCAGCACCGGGGAACACTTTACGGAGCACTGTCATTTTGCCTTGGATAGGTTACACGGAGGAACCCAGTCACAGGGCAGTGGCAAACGGCAGCCCCCACCTCCGTCCGAGTGCGTGGCTGGCCCTGTGTTTGTGTACTTCGCTATTTCAATCTGACTCAGAGGTATTTAATTAAGTACCCAGCAGGGGCTCAGAGCTGAGCTCGAATGTCCTAGAAGTACAGAATTCAACCCTGCTCTTTCTTTTCCTCCCTACTTGGCAGAGGGTGCATGTTCTTGCCCGGGAGCGGCAGAGTCAGAGTCAGAGGAGAGAAAACACCCCCATGGGAACGGCATACTGCAAGCGCCTCTTCCAGTTCTCCCCCTGGGAGCTGGGGTAGGTGGGCGGGGTCCAGGACTCCGGATGTGGGTCCAGATCCCATCACCCCCAGGCTGTGGGCTGGCACCAACCTTGCTCTCGAAGAGCTGCTAACCCAGTGGGCATCTGGGGAGCACGTTTGTGAGGTGACCTGCAAGAGCTATGCAGAGGGTCTCTAACTTCACTGCGGAGAATCCCAGTCTTGGGAATATGCAGGCCACGTGCCAGAGATTCGGGTCTCACGGGTCTGAAGCAGGGACCTGTACCCCGTTTCCACACCTTGGCCAACTGAGTGGAGCCTGCTCAGACTGCACCCTGGGAGTTGGAGGTCCACACCCGGCCGGGAGGAGGTGGGAGGGCGCAGTGGGACGTTAAGTGGAGTGGGCACGCCCGTCCTGTCGACACACTCATCTCCCACCAAGATGACGCAGGGAAGCACAGAGACCAAAGGAGGCCGTCCCTGTCCCCAGCGGTGGGGGCACCCAACTCTGGCCTCTGCGGGGTCCAGGTGACCAAGGGTGCTAAGAATGACGGAGTGACTGGGCAGGGAGACTCAGTCCTTTCTAGTAGCGGTATCTGTCGGTGGCCATAGGTCTCCAGCCCTCAGGAACTACCCTGGGGGCCACTGCCTCCAGGGGATGGGACACCAAGCTGGCCACAGGGACAGGCGCTCCACCGGGCTGTACCACCAGGCTGGGCGCCTGTCTGTCTGTGCCCTGACGTTTGCTGGGGGGGCCCTCCTGGGGCTCCTGTGACCCGCTGTGGGGGAGGGGAGAAGGATGGTGGCAGAGGTGTCAGCTCTACCCAAATGGCCACTGCTGAGGAATCGGAGGATGCGGTTCTTTGAAGGGGTGGAGATAAAACCGGCAGCCCCAGATTGGAATCAGCGCAGAGGAGGGACCGAGGCCCAGCAGTGGCGAGGTTGTATGGGTCAGTCCCAAGCAGGCCTGAGGGGACTCACACCCGGGAGCCTAGACGGAGGACAGAATCCCCAGCTGACCTCGGGAGCCCACA